TCCTACCTAGGATTTGCTTCCCAGCTCTTTTTCTTTCTCTTCTTGATATCAGCAGAATATTATCTCCTCACCGTCATGGCCCATGACCGCTGCGTGGCCATTTGCCAACCCCTGCACTACGGGACGCTTCTGGGCACCAGAGCCTGTGTCCACATGGCAGCAGCTGCCTGGGGCATTTGCCTCTTCATTGCTCTCCTGCACACGGCCAAGACATTTTCAGTCCCCCTGTGCCAGGGCAATGCTGTGGGACAGTTCTTCTGTGAAATCCCACACATCCTCAAGCTCTCCTGCTCACACTCAGACTACCTCAGGGAAGTTGGACTCATTGTGGTTGGTGTCTCTTTAACATTTGGCTGTTTTGTTTTCATGGTAGTGTCCTATGTTTGGATCTTCAGGGCCATGCTGAGGATCCCCTCGCAGCAGGGACGGCACAAAGCCTTCTCCACGTGCCTCCCTCACCTCGCCGTGGTCTCCCTGTTTCTCAGCACTGGCGTGTTTGCCAACCTGAAGCCCCCCTCCATGTCCTCCCCATCCCTGGACCTGGTGGTGTCAGTTCTGTACTCGGTGGTGCCTCCAGCAGTGAACCCCCTCATCTACAGCCTAAGGAACAAGGAGCTCAAGGATGCCCTAAGGAGACTGATCACAGGATGTTTCTCAGAAACAATAAACTGCTTGAGAGGAGAACACTGGTGTGTGCAGTCACTGCCAGGACTGGGGATGCAGAAAGACTCTCGCTGGTCCTGACTTTTGGAGTGACGGAGGCCACAGCTTGATCTCCTGTGCCACACTGGGGGTGCCAGCAAGGAAGAGGGTCATAAGCAAGTGAAAGATTGCACCTGCACTTAGGAAAAGAGAGGACAGTTGACCAACAGGACTATTGCATTCCACATTCGTCACGTTCAGGATAAAGCTGAGAGAAAATGAGGGTTAAACTCCCTTCCTCAATGCAGGACCCGAGCAGGACTTTGCCTGGTCTCCTGCCTTTGATCCCAAACCAGAGACCCTGAATCCATCCTCTGTGCCCTGTTCCCCTCTGCCGTTGAGCCTGGGGCTCTCCCGGTGCCACCAGATCTGCAGCACCAGTGGGCATTGATTTTGGGGGGCGAGTTCAGGTTAAATATCGGATTTGTATGTATTTGTTTCTATTTGTATATATTCTTTTTCATTTATTTTTGAGATAAAATTGTGCACAATGAAATCATATTATTCCTTATTGTTCCTCCCACTTCTAATTCACTGTCTGCCTGTTGAATTTCTCCCATACTCTATGTAAAGAAGAATCATCTTTTCTGTGTATTTAAACAAAATAAAGGGCCCTGCAACTTCTTGTTTCTCTGAGATCCTTCCCCTGAAACCATTGTAAAACTTCAGGGCAGTTCCTTGTGCAGAGCTGGAAGGGAAAAGAGTCCTGGCACAGTGGCAGGACCAGGGAGTACCAGCTCTTGGAGTCTGCAGAGGGGCTGTCGAGATCATGGGGAGGGTGTGTTGGAATGGCTGGCTGGGCAAGCAAAGACATGCTGACCTTGGGGCAAGGCT